TAAGATCCATAAGAGTAAAACAAATTCACTTTTAGGATGCTGAATGTTGGAGATGGAAAAATGTGAGGAATGCTGCAACAGGAAGTAAAATATGTTCCCAAAGCCAAATATTTACTTGGGGAAAATAATCTGAGGTGTATTCACAGGATCAGAAGAAATGTGTTAAACTGGTTCCACTTTCTAATAAATCACAGTCATTAAGGGTAAATAAGTTGTAGCTGTATTCTTAAATTCATAGTGAATTATTTACTGATGCTTTATGGATCAGTTATACTACATAGAAGAACATGATGGTGTTTTCAATTTGATATTCAGTGTTCATAAATCCTCATTCTCACTTTCTAATAAGTCGTCAAGCCTGCAGTTATTAATGTTTATAAATTGTTCATATATGTATTTTGGTTCAGATGCTGTTTTCCAGGAGATAAGCGGTGAAATTATCCATTGGTGGGAGTTTTCTGCCGTCTTAAAGAGCTAAAAAGATAAAGTTAATGTCGTGCTGGAGGAGGATGAACAGCCCAAAAGTTGTTTTTATTAATAGCTTTCTTAGAAAATGCTACTGTTTCTCTTGAGTTTGGAAAAAGTTTACACCCCTGTGTTGTGATTTGCATCTAGACTCTTTACAAAACAGTTAGGCGGACAAAGCCAACAAACCCTAATTGCACTTTCTCATTATTTCTAGGAAATGTTTGAGTTTGACCACCATGTGTTTTCTATTTTCAGCAACTGTAGTTTTCTTTTTTTCCTTCTATATCTAAAACCCATCCCTCAGTGTGCGTCTATAATCCATCACTCATCTACTCCCTTTGATGTGGCTCACGCTCATGTCGACTGATTTGGGTATAAAGTTACAAAAAGTTCCTCTGAGGTCAACAATGTGCAGCAGCACGGCAGGAAAATCTTTTCTATTGCCCAGGGAGCTTTAACTCCTCAGTTTATTTCAGTCTGCTAAAGCACAACAAGATACAGACCTCTGGTAGTGATTAGCAGATTCAGAGTAGTCCTATGTGTGGTTGTTGTGTGTGTTTCGGTGGGAATGTGCACATGAGTCTCGAGATAAGACTTTGTGATGACCAAAGGGTTCTGTATGTTGAAGCAAAGAGCCAGGCTGATCCGGGGAACCGCTGCCTGGTTGATTTGAGCCTTTCATAAGACCTGATCCATGAGCACATTGGTATGGAGAGTCTCTGCTTCAGTGAGGGGTGAGAGAGGAAGAGAAACAGTTCAATGTGTGTGTGTGTGTGTGTGTGTGTGTGAGAGAGAGATTAGAGTTGGCCTGATACATAAGTGTTAGACTTTTTATTAAAATCAGAGGTTGTGTGATGTGATGGAGGTTTTAACAAAAGCTACAAAATGTGTGCATTTTATGTTTGTAAGTAATAGTCCACTCATTATTTCAGTTAATTAGTTATTTAAAAGATCTATTGGCAGAAATGTAATATAATCAGTTTTACCATAGAATGAGCTGTTTATCTACAGAGGGAGCAGGTCCTCTTCTGTGGAGTTTGCCATGCTGAACCGCCATGTTTCTACAGTAGACATTCAGGTTTTTTAACAAGTTTCACAGCCACCATAGTTTCTCCTATAATGTTGAAATGGGAGGGTGAGGCGAAGGCGTTGAGATCAGCAATTACACCGCTTGATGCCACTAAATCAGTTACGATAACGTACTTATCAAAGTAATTGCTAAGATGTGGAAACATGGTGACTTTGCTGCATATGAGAGGTCAGAAGATTGGACAGGTTGTTAACAAAGATTATCTAAACAACTTTATTCATACTTTATTTGGAGGTGCAATCAAAAGTGAGCGCAGCCAAAATGTTGCTAGTAATCTCCGCTAGTAAAAAAAAGTCCACAATTGCATATTTTCTCCTCTCTAATTCTTTTAAATATCTTATAGATGTCGTTCTCAATGCCTTTATTGCAACAAAGTTCTTCCTCTGTGATTGTTGAGCAATGCTTTGTTGCTTTTTGAGGGATAAACACCAAACCAGAGTGAGTTGTAGCAGCTGGAAATACCTGGTTATGTTGCATTATCTAGTTTGGCCAGTTATGTAAAGACATGGGAACACAATATATTATAATATATATATATATATAGTTTTGGGTAGATTTCTAGAGAGGCTGGATATGAAAAAAGTATCAACAGTGTACCCCAACATTATGGGAAATACACCTTTTGCACTCTTTTCAGGAGTTAGAGGATTAGTACAGCATTATAGCTTAACACAAACGCTGGAAGCAGGGCATATTCTCATCTAGTAAGTCAGCAACCAACTATATTTCTGGGTGTATATTAAGCCCCTCATTCTGCATGTGTTTGATTCTGATCTCTACTATCAACAATA